ATAATTGTGTATTTTTTTCCGGCTGTAGGGACGATGTTGAAAGGGCAACTATCTCAGGGGATTGGAAGCAAGTCCATGATTTCTACTTGACCACATTTGATTCCTTTTTGGAACTCAATGGTGCATTTAAGGTGTGTTAAAGCTCTAAACACAGTGTCTTGTTCATGTTTTAAAAGTGTTTACTAGATTGCTGTTGATTATTTTCATATTGCTTGAAATCTCTTTTGAGCATAAGCTTACTTTGCCAAAAAGGCCCAAATTAACCACAGGTTTTACTGTGAATTATCAGTTCATTTAGTGTGTGTAAAATATAACAACAATCATTTAAAATATAATTATTTAAAAACAAATATTTTACTAGTTGCTCAATTATTAATGGCATATAATTGACTTGTCTAAATGTGTTTTTATTTAGGCTATTGAATAATGGTCAATTTTATGAATGAAACATCCTTTTAAGTTTAGCCAAAGTTTTTAATGAGAACTCTTGGAAGTCGGTGGAAAAAGTAACCGTGAAAGTCAGGAGAGGAGGAAAACTGAACATTTTGGTCTCCAAATGAATCAATGAGCTCATTCAGGGAGTAAAAAACAACATCTGCATATGGTTTCATCAGAAAATATTATTCTTATATGAGGTGAATGTTTTACCATCCATTTTATATGTGAAGTATATATAATATGCACCATGTAAGTGGATGGTAGAAAGTATGATTAATGTTTTTATGTTTAAATTTTCTTTTCAGAAAGAAGCAAATGCTCCCTTTAACACTATTGAAGACTCAGGAATAAACATCAAATTTGTCAATATTGTTTATGATGCCTTACTCCACACGGTAAGTAAGAAACTTTTCATCGTAAGAACTGACTGAAGTTTTCTTATAATTGAATTACACAGTAAGCCATTGTGCTCTGTCTGTTGTTTTGAATTTGGTTTTAACAAAATTGGTTTTATCTGGCTAATTTGCAGCCTGCAGACACACAGAAATCAGTCCTGAAGGGAATTATTAATAGCTTATTAAGAGAATGGAAAGGGTGAGTAGTGCATTGTGTTCTCTCACTGAAGCACTAAAAGAGGACATGAAGTCTTTGCAGAAAATAGTGATTAAAAAAGAATCACTGTCAGTTTTGTTTTTGTATTTTTAGGCCTCGCACAAAGGATGACCTTAGAGCATATTTTGTTCTTGTGCAGGTAATGGCATTCTTTTTGCACACTTTTGTGTTTTCTTTTTGTTTATAAAGAAATTATTAGTTTTGTATATCTCTTAAGAAAGTTATGTTTTCTTTCACTATTACATCCTGGCTTAATGGGCTGATCTGCAGTAGGTTATCTAAAATAGCTAACTATATTGAGCAATATTGTTTATTGTATAACCAGAGCTGTATTTATTTGTCAGAAAAACAGGCTCTAAAATTTGGATCTCAGTTAGGGTCTTAGAATTAACATAAGATGCATTAATTTATATATTAAAAATTAAACTAATACATTTTATTGCTATCAGTTTGAAAACATTGTGAAATCAGCATGTAACTAAATAATGTGCAACAACAGAAGCTGCACTAATCAGTGATTATTTAATCTGTCAATTGTATCCGATCTATGAATCGGTTAATGACTTGAAACGGATGAACAAATTGATTCACAAAAAGAACCATTACGGTGCACAGTACGACAGTGAGAGAAGAAGGTTTAGGAGAGCGTGTTTTATCTCCGTTTGATGGCTGTAAAGCTTCTTACACAATAAAATGTGATTAACAAATATAATGGTGTAAAGTTTTGGTGCGCATTGGAAAAATTAGTTGTGAGAACAGTTACTGTCACACTACTAAAAAATCTAGCATCTTTCAGTTTGTTACCCCAACACTGCTGATCTCCTCTTACTAGTGACCAAGCCCATGCCATTAATACAAAATTGCCTTCATTAAACAGAACCCAAAGACATGTGATACTTTTTTGCAATACCTGTAATTTCCCTTTGCAAACCAAAGCAGTTATCTGCGTGCAATCATATAGATGTGCACTTACACAGCAAAATTGCTCTAATCTGTCTTTGATTTGCCCTTTGTGTTGGCAGCCACGTTAAACACCCCAGGCTAAGTAAGAGGCGAATCAGAGTTTCAGGAAACTCTTGATCTCCTCTCTCACCACATGGCCCATTGACTCCAGCCATAGCCCTGCTGTGGTGCAGACAGATCGTGAGCTAAGTGTTTACTTCACACATGACCAGCGCAGGCTGGCCTGGGACTGTCCAAATAAGGACATAGCCACTGGATTTAAGCCTGGGAAGCCGTAGGCAGAGAGAGAGGCGATGGCTTGGTTAGCTAGGATTTGATTCGTTTTGGGTTTTCAGCTTTATGAAACATTTTTTTTTCTCTCCATTTGGTTGGTGAGAGTTAGACGCTTTCATAAACAGAAGCATGTACAGATGTCGGTCTTCTCCAGAGTTCGCATATAGCGGTATTCATCTCCAGACTGTTGATGGGCTCTCTGACCTACATTTCTCTGGAGGACATGATGAAAATGAAAAGCATAGGCAATTATTGGGCTGATCTGTCTGCCACTAATGTCAGGCAGCCTCTGTATTATTTGCATTTGCCATGCCTAAGGAAGGGATGAGGTCATACTGGAGAGGAAAAGAGCTGGTTTCCGCTGCAGCGCCACTTATTAAAAGCCAGACTTCTTTCTCTGCTCCTAAATGAAAGTTTGCTGAAATGCCTCTCTGTGTCGCAGAACCCTCAGTACACCAGCCCAGCCACATATGTCATCTATGCACACTTACTGAGGCAAATAGCAGCCCTGGCTGAAGCGGACCACCATTTCCTGATGCACTGGTTTAAAAAGTGAGTCTGTATAAGAGAGCAATTCACAATGGAAAAGTCTAATTCTTTTAAATAAATGAGCTTTTTGGCTTTTTTGCATTCTAAGTAGTTGTGGTTTTAATTGTGAAATGTGTAAATCCAACAAATAGCAGAGCTAGCCAGTGTCAAGGCATTACACAAATTGACAGTAAAAAAAGAAGTGTTTATGGATTATATCTTCCTGTTTACGATATGTTTCATCTTTCAGGCTGCCTCAGAAGCGTTTCAAACAGCTGGTGGAGCGCTTGCAGCTCTTCATCACTACCCGCCTATTTCCTGCCAAGCCAGAAGAGTTGCCGCCCATGGCCAAATGCTCGTGGTGGATTCCCTCAGCCACTAAAGTCCTTTCCCTGCTTAGTGAGTACTACTGTGCTGGCCACTAGAGAGGACCTGGAGAAAGTCAAGATGCTTTCTCGTAGTTCTTTACAACTGATTTTGAACCAAAATAATCCTAACGTTGATCTTGTTTTAACAGATGCTGCAAATAGCATTTCCTCTTCCTCCATCATCCCTTTCACTGATTTCTACAACCTAACATTGGACCACATAGACTTTATGGAGGATTACCACACGTGGCAGGCTCACGGAAATTCAAACAGGTGCGAATATAAAAATATAATTTAAAATAACGCTTCAAAATTTGTGTTTTGTCTTGTTTTTTGTCCTTAAAACAAGAAATTTACTTGAGAGGAAAAATTGCATTAGATAATAAATAATAATTTTTACAATATTGTTTGTTTTTTTCTTATCTTAATTAGCATAATTACATGTTTTAAGCATAAATCATTTCCAGCTTAAAAATTACTAAGTTGTAAGATCTATGTGTGAAACATGTCATTAAAATATACTGCATTTAAAAGATTGGTGTCAGTAAGATTTGTATTAGTTTTGTGTATTTATTTTTATTTTTTTTTATTAGGCTGAATGCATTAAATTGATCAATAGTGACAGTAAAGGCATTTGTAATGTTACAAAAGATTTAAAATAAATGCTTTTGATTCTTTTGAACTTTCTAGTCATAAATCCTGAATCCTGAAAAAAGTGCATCACAGTTTCCACAAAAATATTAAGTAGCACAACTTTTTCAGCATTGATAATGATAATAAGAAATGTTGTTTGAGTACCACATCAGCATATTAAAATGATAGGTGAAGGACGCTGTGACACTAAAAACTGAAGTAATGGCTCCTGAAAATTTTCTTTAAAACATATTAAAAGAAAAGAGTTGTTTTAAACTGTAATAGTATTTCTGTAATAATAATATATATATATA